TCCATGTAAGTATTTTCCATGAACCTTCCCGTATTTTATCTGTTACTTCTGTAAGAAAACGTACTATATTTTGAAAAAATGAGGACAGTAAATTACCTTACTAAGATGTATTTGATTGATTGATTGATTGATTTTCTCAACACTGTAAAACTAGAAACTCCTCACGGTGTTTAAAAAATGAAGAGATGAGTTTTTAAAAATGTGAAATATTACGAGTGTTTAAGTTTATTTCAAATGAAGTGGCCTTTGTTCTGCAGTCTGTTGTGAAAGGAGTGGCCTTTAGCCATCTCTGTTTCCCCCTGCACATGTCGGGGCAGCCGCCCTCTAATGCTACACCTGAGCCGCAGTGTGGCAGAACGGTGACACTTTGTCTCATGCAGATGACTTTAACCGAGTGCCGATTAGGCACGAAGATGAATGCAGTAAAGAGGGTGAACATGATTCAGATGATTCCTCAGATGAGGACAGTGACTGTGAGGAATCAAGCAAATACATCAATGCTTCTTTCATAACTGTAAGTATTTAGAGGATCCACTATAAGTATTTCATAAGCTTTCAGCTATGACTCTATTCTAGCTTGAGCTCTTATTTTCTTTTTTGCTTCACAAATAGAACAGGATTTACCTGAATAAGGGAGAAAGATTTGACAGTCAATTGGCAAATCCATTTATAGTTTTAATCATCAAAATGATCTACATTTTGCTGCAGCATTAAGATTATCTTTTTTCCCTTACATGGTCTTAAACTGTTAAATCTCAAATAGTGAGACTAAACTTACAAACATTTTGGGTTTTTTTCCATTTTTGCTTGTGGTACATTTAAAACCACTAACTTTCAGACTGGTCTCATGATAAAATGTATTTCTATTAGCAGACATCTGCCTATGTACCATCCATATTCCTGTTTTCCTTGTTAGTGAAATGTGTGTATAGATATTTACATATGCAAAACCCTGCAAGTGGAAACTGGGACCATCAGTTTTTTGCTATAGTTAACTCCAAAAGAAGTTATTGGTCCCTAAGGAAGTGACTGATTTTAATGGAGTTACTAGCTAAATTAGATTTACCTGAATCCTTTAAAATGCTGCACAGTTAGGATATCTGTTCCAAGTAAATGTATTTTTATTCTTGGGTAGCTCAATGTGAACTGACTAGTGCACCAACTTTGTGTGGTATAAGCTCTATTTTTTGTAGTCAAATTAAGAAGCTGTGAATAATTAAATGTTTTAGCCCTTAAAAATATGCTTTGCAAAAAATGACAGGGTGAGGTCTCACCCACTGAAGCATAAGTGTACCTTGTTGTCAATCTGGAAGTGGTACTGTTAGGAGGACTGAGTTCAATGTCATTAGGCTTATAGTATTCCTATAAGACCATTGCCTAGTGTGATAGGCATATTCTTCCAGTAAACAATAGGGCTCATTAGTTTATTTCACTAGGTATTCTTTAAATGACAATGAGTTCTGTTTCCTGACAATCACATTTCAAATGAATTTAAGAAAAAAATTTCTTTTATAGGGTTACTGGGGTCCAAAAGCCATGATTGCAACACAGGGACCACTGCAGGAAACTGTCTCTGACTTCTGGCAAATGGTCTTCCAAAGAAAAGTCAAAGTCATTGTTATGCTGACAGACCTGAAAGAAGGGGATCAGGTGAGGGCATCATCTTCACGCTGACATATATGCAAAAAAAGCACTGCACTGCACTCTCATTCCCTTCCTCCAGTTAAACATGTTTCATAATATGAGGAATTTGGATTTCTGACACAATTTTTCCTATTATTTACTGTCTTAATTTACTTTCTAATGAATTTTTGAGGGGAAGAATGTATGATGCTATATTTTGAAATATGATTACATTCCTACTGCTTCAAAATCAATACATGCTCTAAGTGCATGTGGAAGATAAAATAAAAGGAGGTTTGAATGGTAAGCACTGACTTGTACTTCTATTCATTTTAGGAACTCTGTGCACAGTACTGGGGAGAGGGAAAGCAAACATTTGATGACATAGAAGTCCAAATGACAGATGTCAACTGTTGTCCTAGCTATACCATACGTGCATTTGACGTTACACATCTGAAGGTAAAAGTTTTTTTGCAAATTCCAAAAGGAAGATTTTAATTTGTTTCCCCTGTTATAAACTTAGCCTAAAGAAAGAGGAGGGACAGTTTCCACTGAACTTACCTCCTGCTCTAAGAAATGGAATATTTTTCTCTTCCAGACCAGCAGCTAATCATGATAAATGCCATAAATTAGCTCAAATTGCCCCGTTAGTGAATTGCTGAGATGGTGGTAGTGGAGTCTCAGGAGATCACCTGTCTTTTGTACTTCGAACAAAGCTTGGACGTGTATGTACCTCATATTCATGAAGCAGAACTCACAAAATCATGCAGTTCCTCAGGAATATAATTTTTCTTTTGTAAATCAGCTGCAATATTTATACTATGTGAATCTTTATTTTAACCTGAACATTGACTACATCTCCACTGCTGTTTTTCAGACAAAAGAAACACAGAAAGTGTATCAGTATCAGTATCACAACTGGAGTGGTTTGGATGTTCCAGAAAACCCCAAAGATTTAGTCAGCATGATTCTCAATCTTAAACAAAAAATCCCAGCCAGACCAGTCACGGAGGACAACAGGAGTACTCGCGCTGTCCCCCTCCTTGTCCACTGCCGGTGGGTCTGAATTCAGCACACCTTAACCGAGCCCTAAGTTCTGTATATATGTAGCAACCACAACTTTGGGATGCCTAGCTTTTCCCACAAGCTTTTCCACGTGGCTCAAGAGTCAGCTCTCACTAGAAGATTCCTTGAGTTGCTCAAGATTGACCTTTTTAGGTAGTGATGAAAAATGAGCGTGGGTGTGGAGTAGGTGGTCAGAGCTAGCTGCTCTTTCCTGTTAAACATATTTTGGAAAGAAATGCTAGGTCAGAGTGCTCTTGTAGCATACTGTTCATGAGGAACCAGCAGAGCTTTTAGGTTCATCTCTTTCTCCAGTACAAAAGCCCATTTTTTAAGGACCATTTCCAGAAATAAACTTTCATACCATCTAAAATGGAGGATAATCTTACTAACAATTGTTGAGTCTGTAAGTCTGAGGCTTCTAATTTCTCTCTTATCCTTTAAGTGGCCACATTATATCCAGGTAGCCTGCAGATAAGCTATCTCTTGTGTGTGTCCTACAGATATTCTTAATTGTAACAGTTTCAGTCCAAAATTGTTTTAGAAATGTAATTCATTATGTAGAATTTGAAATAAATCTAATATTTAGACAAAGGAATTGCTGATTTTACATCTGCATTTTACATCATTTTCTAGTGATGGATCACAGCAGACTGGTGTATTTTGTGCTTTAATGACCCTCTTGGAAAGTGCAGAAATAGAAGAAGTAATAGATGTTTTCCAGGTAGTAAAATCTCTTCGTCGCACCAGGCTGGGAGTGGTGTCCACATTTGTAAGTAAATCTTATGAATTGCCAGAAAAAAGTATAAGATTACTTATGGTCACTAATGTCCTTGTAACTTTACGCATAATTTCTGCATAGGGAGCACTAATCCTAAACAGAACATTCACAGCCACTCACCACTACTTGGGAATTGGCTGCTACAGATCAGAATGGAGGAGTCTGTGAGATGTCCAGAGCTACAGTCTTATCGCTTCTTTGTGGAAGGTTGCATATTATAAAATTACAGATTGCATAAATTGATGTTTCTGCAGTTGCTTCAGGGATGTACATGCACAGTGTCCCCTAATTCCTGCAGTTAGGAGGCTAACTCTGTTCCACAGGCTATTGGCCATTCCACTCCAGAGGAATGGTGTTACTGTGCATTTACTAACAAACAACACCTAGGTGTCATCTATGTGGGGCAGGATATTAGGTGGCTTTCCTAGACTCCTTACAATATGTGTTGTCTACAGCTTAGGTGCTCTAAAAAATAAATTTTTGGCACTTTAGAACCAAGAGGGTACTGAGTGACTCAGCTTGGAATGTCTGATACAGGCAGTTACAGAGACAGTACATACACATGAAATCAGAATAAACCAAAGAAGCAGCCTTTTGTATGCCAAAAACTGTGGAAACTGCTTCATATGCAGTCTTGCAACTACAGTCTTGTAACTACATGTTACTTTTCCAAAATTTAAGAAAACAGAAAGAATGGGTTTATTCTTGGGCTTTGAGCATTCCATTCATGCTAACTTCTTCTCTTTATATTTAAGGAACATTACCAATTTCTGTATGACACCATTGCCAGTATCTACCCTGCACAGAATGGACAAATAAAGAAGAACAGCCAGCAGGAAGATAAAGTTGAATTTTGCAGTGAGGTAGAAAAAACAGATCAGGAAACTGATTTGGTCACTGTTGATCTTACGCCATCGACACCAGAGGAAAAAGAGCTTTCAGAAGTATGTGGTGATTCTAAAGCTGCAGACAGCACCAAGGGAACAGAAAGCTCTACAAATGGCCCCACAACTCCAGTTCTAAATTAGAAGCTATACTTTTTAAAAAGTGCTCTTTCATGTGCAAAAAATCTTAAACAAAATAAGAAGTATAAGATTTCTTCCTCTACCCACTTTTTTTTTTGAAAATGTTTACTGTTCTATCAGTTTTTCAAAGGTACAAATTTAAAGGAATACTTGAAATTTGTAGAGTGGCAAAGAACTGTGAAAGTAGAATTTTTGTTTAGATTCGCATTTAATACTTCATCAGAAACCATTTCATTATTTTTATACTTTTTCTTTTAAAAATATGTACAGTGTAATGCTATGCTGAGCAGTGGGAAGGAATTTTTTTTTACTTCTCTAACAAGGAGAAAAGCTACTCGGAACAACAAGATTGGTGTGCTGCAAAAACAGGTCTGTCTTTGAAGCTATTCACAAGTAAATTAACCTAATTGGTAAGTGTATATTCTAGCATTTCAGGAGTGCTGACCAAACATTGCTTCAATAATACTCTCTGGAACTTGTGGGACTTTGTCAAACAGTTTTAAGAGCTTACCATTCATATCATCTGGCAATTCCAACGAATTCAGTCTTATGGAGAGTCTGTAAGTCCTCCCATGTCAATGTGGAATAGAAATCTGCATTTTTCTAACTAGCCTCAAGGTGTCCTTGTTGCTCCATGTATATTAATCTGAGACTCCAAGAACAGTCTGGAGATTGGCGTTCGAATGATTGCAACGATTCTGATAGAAAACACATTTTGTTTACTCTTACAGCTTGACGTACTGTGTGCTTGCACATCTGTTTCTCATGCTTCTTGGTATTTAAAGGGACTGCTGCCATGAATGCATCTGACCTGTTTTCAGAATTGGAAAATACTTAGATGATTTTCCTCCAAACTTTGGAGATTTTAATTGGTACAGGATTTTTTTTTCATTATGAGGTTTTGTATGTTACAGTTAAGATATTTTTACTATTTTTGCTGGATTTAAGCTTACTGTTTTTAGAACAAATAAAAATGATAATTAATAGTTGACAAGGTGGAAATTATTTTGTTCAATATTGGACTCTGCAAACTGAAAATTTTCTTCTAAATGCACAAAATCTTATGCTATCCCATAGTTGGATAAAATTTACAAATTTCAGTAGCAAAAAACATCATTTAATTTTTATAAAACTGTGTGAATCCAGGTAAGTGTCATGACTCTCATTACAGAATAAGGAAATTTTTCTTTTGATTGAAGTCATTAAAGGAACAGTTGCTAAACAGATTCAGTGCCCCTAGTTTATCACTGCATATTCCTAATCTCTCTTTACAAAACATAATCGAGCTCTGTAAACAACATGTACAGTCATAGTTGGTTAAAACAGTATTTTAATTTTGCTGCTACTATAGATCAAAAGTTTCATTCACAACTATCAGCTGACACAAGTGCTTCCTGGCAGTCTTGCTTGAAGAAGCGGCAGCAGTTGCCAAGGCAGTGGGATTCCCCTTGACTAGCGTCTGAATGGCCTTTTCAGCTGAAACTTGGGTTAGGTCATAAACTAACAAAGCTGAGGGGGTCACCTGTGGAGAAAAAGCTCTTGAGACTAAGTGTAAAGATAAACTGAAAAAAATATAGGCCTGTTGGCTAATTTTAGAGGAACAAGTCAAAATTACAAATTCTGGTAAAAAAAGGTTTTTTTAATTGCAAAATATCATTTATCAAAAAGATAAAAAGTCTTAGATGCAGGTTGACTCGCTGGTGCTCACTGTATGACAGAGAAAAAAAATAAATATTTTTATTTTTCTAAGAATTGGCCACTGTAAATCCTCCCTAGCTAGCGCAGGTAGTAAAATAAAGAGGTCAGTGCAGCTATGTGTTGTAAGAGTGTGGAGAGAGAGAGAGAGACTAATCATATATTTAGGAATAACAGAAAATGTTTCCCAAATAAAAAATTAGGCCCAGATTTTAATTTTGTGTAAATCTGAGGGCAGCCATACACTTCAACTCCTTGAAAAATGGTTCTGCAGCTTTTCAAGCTCCTGCAGCACCTGGGCTCTAAAAATTCTGGAGGATTTTGTTTTGTTGAAATTATTTTGTAGAATTATTTCAGTGTTCTTTTGACTGCATATTTTTAAAAAAAAATGCATGCCAGGTTAACACTTGATTTGTGCATGTATTTTGAAAGAAAAAGAATGAACTATGTTAAATTGTGCCTCATGAATGCCTTCATTATTAGCCTAATCAGAGAAACAGAGCCTTGCATTAAAAGTGCCCTCATGTGCCTAGTGTATACCACTTTTGGAGTTATTAATTTGTTATGGTTACAAAGGGATAAACAGAGCTCTTGGCTTTTAATTATTTTCAAATTAAATAACACTTCATACAATTAAACCTCATTAAATCCCAGTGTGACAGTTGAGATGCGTGTCTTGGCACAGCTTAGAGGTTCTGATTGTTTCTAGGAACTCTCTATGTATGTACCAGGGATGGGTTTTTTGCCTTCTCTACAGTCATTTGAATTTCAGAAATCCACAAGATGGTGACACAGAGCTTGTAGAATAAGGTTGTTGTGGTCTACAAGGGCCTGAAGGAGGATCCAGGGAACTACAGATCTGTCAGTCTGACCTTGGTGCTGGGGAAGATTATGGAGCAGATCATCTTGAGTGCCATTGCACGTACAGGACAACCAGGTGATCAGGCCCAGTCAGCATGGGTTTATGAAAGGCCAGTCCTGCTTGACTAACCTAACCTCCTTCTATGGTGACCCAATTAGTGGGTGAGGGAAAAGCTGTGGATGTGGTCTGCTTAGGCTTTAGTAAAGCCTTAATGACTATTTCCCACAGCATTCTCCTGGAGAAACTGACTGCTCATGGTTCAGTCACCATCCCTGGACATATTAAAAAAACATATGGATGTGGCACTTAGGAACGTGGGTAATGGTGAACTTCGCAGGGCTAGGTTTACAGTTGAACTCTATGATCTTAAAGGACTTTTCCAACCTAAATGATTCTGTGATTCTATGATAAGCTAAGAGTTAGCTGATGTTTGAAAGTGTTTTATAATCTGAAGTACAGGATAAAAATAACTAAGCAACAGATCAGCTGGGAGAGGACTTTGAGCCACAAACAAGGGCAATGAAGGGCTTACGTGACCACAGGGACTGGATTTCTCCCACAGTTTCCTGTGTAGAAGTTGATGGAAAACTGGGTATGGAAAAGTGACAGTGCTGTGTTAGTGGAGTCTGGTGTGGGAAGATGAGAGAGAGGAAGGATCCCAGAGTCTCCACAAGATTCTCTTTGGTCAGGTAACAGCAGTGGGAAGGAGTTATATGTTTCCTTTTGTTTAGATTTTTATGTTTCTTGTATGAACAAGGTAGTTATATTAAAATATTCTTCATATATTAAAATATTGTTCAGACACTGTACACTACGAATATCAGCCACGTTGTGATTCATGAGATGAATGTTATTCAACACAAAACACGGCAGCAGAGGGCTCACTCCCTGCTGGGGATGGGAGCACTTTCTTCCCCTTGCCCTAAACTGATCTGCTGGGAAGAAGTTGGTGGCCACATGCAGGAGCCAGAGGGGCTGGATCAGGCCCAGAAAGTCCCCACCTGCCCTTGTCCCTCCTCTTACTGCTGCCATTAGGACGTGGCCTGTGGGGAAGGAGGTTGGCCAGAGGAGTGAAGAAAGCAGTGGGCTTTGAGCTTTGCTGCAGAACAGGAAACCTGAGTTAAACCTTGTATGAGAGGCACAGGCAGAGCCGGATGTGACGCATGTGTCTGTGACACTTGGCACTGCTGAAGGTAGGAGCTGCAAAAGGAAGTAAAATGCTGACATCACGAGAAATTTATTGGTGTGAGATGGCAAAGAAAGTAAGAAAGAATAGTGGCTCAAGACAGGTGTCTTATTAGGCTGGAAATTATATCCTTTGTTTAACATTCCTCAGAAAAACTCCCCGGTAGCAGTGCTTATATCTTTGATAAGGCATCTTGCTTTTGTAAGGGCCCAGTTTTTTTGACGTACATTCTCCAGATTGCCTCTTAAAGAGTATCAGAAATTCCCCAAGGGCTCCACACAGCTGTACCACAGCTTTTTGTCCATACATAAGGCAACCATTTGCCAAGAACCAGCATGCTGTGTTTTAGACTAGGGAAAACCAAAATAGAAGAAGAGGAAAGTTTCAGTTACAGAGTACAGCACATTTCTATATCCATCAGCTCCACAGAATCCAGTAATTTTAAAGGTACAGCAACATAGAAATAAAGTTTTATACAAAACTTTATAAGTTGATCTTTCTTTTCAATGCAAATAATGGGAAAATGACGACTACAGAAATACTGAGCAAGTTTATACTAAAAGATCTCCTTTTAACCTCAGTGAAAAAGGTTTCATTAAATAGTTATGTTTCAGACTCAGGATTGTCAGCATCAGCAATGCATAATATTACTGAATTTTGGAAATTAACATAATAAACCTTTTTCAGAGGAACGGGCATATAACTATTTACAGCTGGGTCGTCTCTTGAATCCCACAGCTGCACACCACCGTGGCTGGCAGTATTAATTTAGTCATAAGCATGACTGACTAATATACAGAGGAAAAATAAAAATGAAGTTTACTTTGGACCAATTTTAGCACTCAGTGTCAAATTTTCAGCTTTGGAGATGAAACCTCATAAGAGCCTGACCTTGCCTGGCGGTCAGCTGTGACCCAGGGCTCACACGCGGCAATAGTCCATAGAGTCCTTGGGGTGGACCCGATGTACTTTCAGAGCTTACCCGCCAGGCTGTGCTGAAACTCTTCAAATGCTTTTTGCTCTGTTCAGAGCACTCCTGCAGTGCATTCGGCTTGCTCCATTTCAGTAATGCGGAGCCATTTGAGGTAATGAAGATGACATTTGTTTATACACCACTGCCGAGATTGTGTCTATCCGAGCCCAAGCGTTCCTTCAGAGCGAGAGTGTGCGCATGTGTGCATGTGTACATGCAGGCATCATTCATAGCCTAAAGTGTGAGATTACATTCCCAACCAGAAATCAACGAGTTGTTGGCTTGGC